GTAGCTTTCCGTTGATCCACATAATTACGAATATAAAATTAGCACTTCCTTTCCCCCATCAGAAACAAAAATTTGACAGCGTTTTAAGAAGACATTGCTAAGTGTGGATTATGTTTCCTGATATGCAGGATTCCTTACACAAATGCGGATATTTCAGAATGCAATTTTAAATTCACTAACAGATGTGTAGTAAGCTGGTGCCTCTTTTTTTTTTAGAACTCAGTAGACAGTGAACATAAAGATAGGGCCACTATGGTGAGATGCTGCAGGGGCTGATGGGAGCCTTGGGGCCTCACTGCTCAAACGTCTGTGTTCGCCTCAGGTTGTCCTTCACACGGACAAACTCTGGGATCTTCTCTTGGTTCTCCCGCTGCCTGATCTCTTCCTGCTCATACTGGAAAAATAAATAAAGGACTAGTCAGTGTTTGCATGGGGAATCTAAAGAGTTGTGAGGTGATTAATGGGGCAGACAGAACTAAAAACAAAGTTCTGCTACACATTTGTTTTCATCTTTTGGACTTGTCTCTAAGCTTTGCTTTTTTGGTGAAATATTGGATACTTTTAGTATTGAACCATTATTCTACCATCTGAAAAGTAGAGTGGGGAAATGTTTGTGCTTTGTGTTTTTAAGCTTATCGTATGTTTTTTCAAATGTACACTAAATTTAAAAATGAACAGCACCTATATATTTCCCTCTGGAATGTAATGAAGTCGACATATAGTGTAGTAGTAAGGCAAAAGTACCTCATATGTGGTCCTTGACTAAATGTACTTATTTACCTTCTGGCTTTGACCCTTAAAATCAAAGCCTTGTGGTAACACTAACAACAACACCTGTGTGTGTGTGTCGGCCAAAGTGAATTTAATAGTGTTTTATAATTACTTCGTGAAATGTCTCTTAGCCGTTTGTTATGAGTCTCTGACCTCTTCCAGCTTCTGCTGCCTTTTGCGGAGCTCCGTCTCCAGATCTGAGGGCCGCCGTTGTGCCAGCTCCTCCTCCCTGTGCAGCTCCAGCCTGCGCTGCTCCAACACTCGTTTCAGCTCCGGTTTCTCCTCCAGCAGCAGGCCCCTGCATGGTCAGTCAGATGTCACACTCACTCACACACACACAAAGTGCTCTGTTTCAAATGCTGACCGCATTAAGACCAGAGAACAGTGTCGTTCGACCTCCTGTACCGTTTATGGCTGAGCAGCAGCTCCCGGTGCAGGTCCTGGTGGCTGGGAGTCTCCACTGAGGAACCATTCAGTCTCCTGGGCTGAACCATCTCGTCACCACTGAAGTCTGCTGTGGACTGACGGTACAGTGGCGGGTGGCCAACAGAGGTCTCTGAGGAACACAAAACAACTCATAATTATCTGGTGACCTCAACATTTAGAACAAATAGATTAATTAAATATTGATTAGTGACATTTCAGTGATACAATCAAATATTCCAAACCACAGTATCATCAACTGTATGTGTGCTTGTTTTAATATAAGAATATATTTTATACATTTATATAATACATTTTTAGTCTAGCATTTGTGTGTTCAAGTTACCTTTTTTGTGATGTCCATATCCTGGTTTCTGTTGGTTAAAAAGTGTGGAAGAAGTTAGTAATTTGACAAGTAGATGATATCACATCCAGACATCTTAACATTGATGTACTAAAACTGGTATGTCAAATCATCTGCTTTCTTTCCTGGATAGATGGTATAATTAAATGCTATAAGAGCTAAAGCGACAGTGCCCTCTGTGCCTGTTTAAGCAGGTGAGCTGTGTTTACTTGGAGCACGAAGATGATGTAACAGCTCTGTCAGCTCTTGTCAATGAGACTTTAATGTGGGTTGGCCAAAGTTTTACCAGTAATTTAAAAAAGACAATGATGTAAACATGACGATGATGTAAACATGATGATGTAAACTGCATTTATTATACTCATGCCATAATATTATGGGATGAAATCTTGGCATGACATCCTATTGTAACACAATCAGTCTGATACCTCTGCCACACCCACTGAAACCAGATAACTGGTAAGGATGAAAGGATCACAAAGAGCAAGTAACAGGTGGTAGATGTGACTGGTCTGAACAACCTTTCTCAGACACCAGATAACAGCGTATTTCTGTTATTTCCTGCCCTACAGCTGACCAGAAGATTCCCAACCTCATAACTGTGTTTGGGATTGTGCCTTTTACTGTTCTGTCACCGATATAAGCCTCCAAATCCTGTCCTTCCTCAGGGCCCCTGTAGAGAGGCTGAGCTGGGGGATCACCTGACGGGTGTTTGACCTGATGCAAAGCCATTGTTCCAGTCAGGGCCTGCAGGGCTGGGACGGGATCCAGCAAAATCACTTCACCTAATCTCACAACTTCTCCTTCTGTCTAGATCAGATGCTCTGAATTGAATTATCACCAACTGACTCAAATTTTACCTTCAGAAACATCAACATATGTGTTTGTTTGTTTTATGCAGTGGGACATGAAACCCCCAGCTATTTACAATGGTGAGAAGTCACAACATGTGGCTCTATTTGAGAATATCAGTGGCACATTTAGGTAAACATAAAAGGCAACAATGAATACAAGATATACACACTTAATAAATCTTGATAGATTTCAATGTGGATAAAAACTTTGATGACAACACACTACACATTTCACCTGAACTAAAGCATTTTTATAAATGAATGGACTATAACTTTGCTAAATAAATTATAGTGATCATCCTGTTCTGTAAAATAATAATAATAATAATAATCTCATTCAAATTATGTGATTTGATTCTAGATTGTCGCAGTGTCCATAATCTACACAATATGAGGGATGTAAGGTCTATTAGACAACATAGAATTCAAAATAAAACCACAACTGTAAAATCACCAAGGCCACAATGAAGTCAGCTAAACCTCTGACAGATCACTGGCCACCAGACCAGACACTGACCTCTCACTCACCAGACAGGAGTGAAGGCATAAGAAAACATCTTGCACGAACTCACTTTTTTTGCAGTTGACCCCTCCATGGCAGGATGGTGGAGGTCCACTGTTTCTGTCCAGTAACAGTCTTCCTGTTTTAGTCCATAGCTCTAAGAATCACACCTCCTCACGCAGTGTGTCTGTGGTCTGTTCCTTTGCTGCGTCCGAGTCCAGCATGTTGATGAGGGATCCTCGGACTCAATGTGCCACCTAGCAGTAGTCAATAGATGGTAGTAGACGCTGAAATCTTATTACACCATTCAAGATTACCTCACAACCCCCACAGGGCTTAGGACTCTAGCTTAGCTAATTGCAGCCGACACAAATGCAGCTTAAAACCAACCTAGCACGGCACTAGTACCAGTCGACTCCTCTACCACCACAGAGACTCCCAACAAGACAGGTTTTCAGGCACTGGTTCAATACAAGGACAACAATGAGTTGCAGTATGTGGTTTTTGTTTGCTACATTTGAACTCATGGATAGAAATGATCTAAACAGTGCATAATCAACATTTTCAAGACAGTGTTTCTCACAGACACGGCCTTTGTAACAGACAATTTTAGTTTATCTATATAGTTTCTGAGCAGCACCCAGTGTGTGTTTGAACCACTACAGCCTCAAACTTCATAAATAAAGCTTTATTTATGCTTATCACAAGTCTTTATTTGTTTGTTAATTTAATGTGACAATACAGACATATGTTACATAAGTATGAGAAATGCAATATATGTAATGTATAGAGGGTGTCCAGTTAAAGCTAAATTGCAGCCACTTGTTAGGGCTTTGGGTAAAAAACAACTAAACAAAAGAATAAAACAGATTCAGATTCAGTGCCCGACCCTCTTGGGTTTACAAGACACTAAAAGTACAGTTGCAGTGGTTAAACGTTTAATTTCATTACAACAGTAGGTTATTTTACAGCTTGGTTTTAAACAAAATATTCTGCTTTCTCTCCCACGCTTGGCAAATAAAATCACAAAGAAAGGTTCCCTTCCTCAAGCACAACTAAAGTTTTTCAAAATCATCCAGCAAAATAAAGTATACTTATGTATGTCTATGTGCATGAATGTTGCAAGGAGTAGGAGTGCACATTGTCGTCGGATTTTGATAGAGAACCAAAGAAGAAGACATGTATATGACCAGTTGATAAATCTTTCAAGGTTCACATCTTTGTTGGTGTTTAAGACACTGTTACCACTGTATATAGAAAACTTTAAATTTAGATTAAGTAATTTATTTGGTTTGTGAGGCTACTCAAAAATGTAATTGATTGAAAGTTGTTCATAGATCAAATGACATATTATATGTACTTTTTATTTAGCACTGAGTGGTGTCCTTTTCCTGATTCTGTTCTGAGGAAACCAGCATAACAATATGTACATATACATATATCAGTGCAAAAGTGTTCAGAGCAAACATTAGGTATTTTCCAGCCATTAGTCAATTAATAGTCATTCTTTTGATGCTGGATCTTGCAAAGATCACTGCCTTTTAAAATTACATTTACATCAATTAATTTGGTGTAGATGAATTCCTTCCCTACCATATTCTTTCTTTCAGCTTACAAATACAACAGTTCTATTATTTTTTCCTACTGTTTGAACAGACCCCTCTGTTTCATTTATTATTCACTTGTGGAATCGTTATTTGCCATGCACTGTGAAGGCATAAAAAAATTGCCTACATATTTAATGTAATTGTAAAATCATGTTTTGTTTTTGTTTTTTCCCACTATACTTCTACAGTTACACATGAAACCTGTGTTTAGGGGTCACTTCATATGTATAGGCTACTTACATTTGTATTATATTTTTTACTAATGTATTTTTGATTTCTTCGGTGTTCTTATAAACTTTCCTTACTGTAAAACTGTAATTTCTTCGTGTAATTCAAGGAATAAAGGAGAAAAAATAAGAAAAAAAAGGAAGGTATTTTCCGTTGATGACCACATGGGGTCAACATACAACTATTTTCTTCTTTGATTATCCCATGATTCCTTGCGGCTTTTAGCTTTAAACCCGACCCGGATTTTCCTCCTTCTTCATAGTTTGAATGGCGTGTGTGTGGGACCTGTGTGAGTGAGTATTTGGTGATCGCTTGAGTGAGTGAATGCCGGGTGTTTGTGTGCGTGAGTGAGTGTTTATTTCTGTAAAAACTACACACTGATCTTATTTGATTTGGTCAGAGTTTGGCTCTGCTCTGATCAGAGATGATAAGAAAAGCGCTCTCGAGCCTCCGTGGCGATGAGCAGCAGGCACGATTTTAGCAGGGCCTCCACGCTTTATGTTGTGGGAAGAGATGATGAATTGATCAGATATACTAGATCTGGGTGAGTTTGGGTTCATCTCAAGCTTCACAATGGACAATGAGTAAATAAGCGATTCTGATCTAACCACAACAGAAACCCAGCCTGGAGCCCTGGACGGTTATTTGATCGTTTTAACGGCCGCGTTCTACTCACGAGACACTAACGTTACAAGATGTCGGCAGCTTTTTATTTGTCGCTAGAATTGATCAAACGTTTCAGCCTACAGCCACCGAAAAGTGGAAACTAACTGTATTTTACCCGATTTTACCATGTGAAGTACTTTTAGAGCTAATTGAACTGAAGTACAGTCAACTGAGACTGTTCCTCGTAAGATAAGTTCACGAACAAAACATTTTACCTGCAATAACGGCGGGGATACGGTGGTTAATGTTACTGTCGTCATGGTTACTTCACAAGGTTCCTAGACGTTCCTAGCTTATGCTTCAGTTAAATGTTACGTTTAAACTGTCCAAATACTCACACGCTCAGATGTACATTGAAAGTAGGCCACTTATTGTACAGTACCCTCAAAGTTTTGGAACGGTAAGGCAAATTCCTTTTTGGTTTTTTTGTTCGCTGAAGACATTTGGGTTTAAGATCAAAAGATGAGAATGAGACAAGAATTCAGAATCTCAGCTCTCATTTCTTGGTATTCACATCTAGATGTGTTAAAACATAGGACATATCACCGTTTGTATTCGACCACAGAATTCTCAGGTGAGCAAAAGTAATGGAACAAATAATCTTAATAACATTTAAAATAACATTTAATATTTGGTGGCATAAACCTTGCTTGCAATAACTGCCTCAAGCCTGCGTCCATCGACATCGTGAAACTGTTGCATTCTTCATTTGTGATGCTATTCCAGGCTTTTACTGCAGCTTCTTTCAGTTCTTGTTTCAGGGTGTTTCTCCCTTCAGTTTCCTCTTAAGGAGCTGAAATGCATGTTCTATTGGGTTAAGGTCAGGTGATTGACTTGGCCAGTCTAAAACCTTGCACGCTTTACCCCTGATGAAGTCCTTTGTTTTGTTGGCAGTGTGCTTTGGGTCAGTGTCCTGCTGCATGATAAACCTCCTCCCGGCTAGTTTCAATGCATTTCTCCCTAAACTGGTAGACCAAATGTTTTTGTACACTTCTGAATTCATTCTGCTGCTACCATCATCAGTTACATCATTAATAAATATTAATGAGCCTGTTCCAGAAGCAGCCATGCACGCCCAAGCCATGACATTACCTCCAGCATGCTTCACAGATGAGCTTGTATGCTTCGGATCATAAGCAGTTCCTTTCTGTCTCCACACTTTGGCCTTTCCATCACTTTGGTAGAAATTAATCTTGGTCTCATTAGTCCATAAGATTGTGTTCCAGAACTTTTGTGGTTCATCTCTGTACTTCTTTGCAAATTTCAATCTGGCTTTCCGATTCTTCCTGCTGATGAGTGGTTTGCATCTTGTGGTGTGGCCTCTGTATTTCTACTCTCTGAGTCTTGTTCGAACAGTGGATTGTGATACCTTCACCCTGCACTGTGGAGGTTGTTGGTGATGTCACTTACTGATGTTTTGGGGGTTTTCTTCACAGCTCTCACGATATTTCTGTCATCAATTACTGTTGTTTTCCTTGGCCGACCTGTTCGACATCGGTTGCTCAGTACACCAGTAGTTTTTCTTTTTCAGGACATTCCAAATTGTTGTGCTTGCTATTTCCAATGTTTGTCCAATGGCTCTGGTCGATTTTCCTTCTTTTTCTGCTTTTCTCCCATAGACAGCTCTCTGGACTTCATGTTGGTTTATCCTCTTTAACAGGAAATTCAGCCTTTATAGGTTTGAACCAAGGATGAAAACTTAAACATTCATGCAGAGCTATTTAATGTTTGGACAATCAACCTAAAAGGCAACACCTGGGCAACAAGAAACATCTGCCAGTCACATGCTCACTGGAAAAATGAGTGGGTTCAAACAGGGTGGTATGTCCTGAGTTGTTTAACACATCTAGATGTGAGTACCAGGAAATTCTGAATTCTTGTCTCATTCTCATGTTATGATCTTAAACCCAAATGTCTTCAGTGAACAACATAAACAAAGGAATTTGCCTTACCGTTCCAATACTTTTGGAGGGGAATGTATGTGTAACTCTCCTCCTGTCCACACAGGTTGTGAGGATATCTATTAACAACCCCCCCCCCCCATATATGCAACTTAATTCATCTCTCCCATTTTTCTTTTTAAATAAATGCAACTGTATGTATACACTGATTAGCCAGTTTCTCAGGTACACCTAGTTAATTTGTGACCTGTTGCTGATTGCTTCCCCGCCCCCATTTATAACTGACTGTATTCTCTCTAGTAACAGTAATAGTAACAACAAATTAGATTGTACATTGGAAGTGGGTGTATATTTGAAATACTGATAACTCCTGTACACACACACAACCTCACATCAAACCTGCTAACTGATATATAACCAGGAACTATTAATTAATAAAGTAAATTACACATTCTCCCTATGTCTTTATTAAAAACATTAGATTGTGGTGCTTTATTCAGATATATTTGTTTATATAATATTTGTCAAACATGTCCAAAAGAATTGGAGGAAGTCAATTTCTCTGTGTGAAATTTCCCTATTAATAAAAATAATTATACAATGAAAGTTTGTTTTCATTCATGGCTAGATTATTCAACCTTCCCTCTTCTAAAATTCTTAAGGTCCATCCAGAAGATTTTTTGTTTCTTTTTACTCTACATTGTGTATACTTTATTGTCAAGTTGGGATTTTGAGTACATCATTGCAGTATTTTCTGCTGAAATACATATACTATTTTAAACACATGCGATTATATTATTACAGATTCAGATATTGAAAAACTAGCACTTGAGTCTCGCGATAATGAACGATAGTTTGGACAATGACGTCAGTCTTTGTGTATACACGTGACAAATTTGATCCAACCGGCTTTCAACAACGACTCGGTGAAGCGCGCGATAGTGAAAGAACGTGTATGTCGTTCCTTGTCAGGACAAGGCTCTGTTTTTATTAACCATGGCTGAACCCAGCAAAAGACGGAGAGGCAGTAACATTAACAGCAGTTCACAGACTTCTAGTAGCAGGGCAGCGAACACGTTCATAGGTAGTCAGCCTGATTTAACCGGAGGAGATGGCCGTTTTGTGGAGGGATCCATACTTCGCCTCACCATGAAAAACTTCCTGTAAGTTAACGTTACTCCACCTCAGCTGTTAGAAAGCAACACAGAACAACGTCTACAAACCAAAACTCAACTCCAGCCTATAATAATAATAACAACAATATGATGGAGCCTGATGATAGCTAGACGGCAAAGCTAGCTAGACATGCTAACGTATTTACCCTCTCAACATGTAGGGAACGTTAGGTAGATTTATTGTCACAATATAACGGATTATATAGTGAATTCTATTAGAGAGACTTAACCCGTAGCGTTAACTTGTAAAACAGATATATTCACACTGTAACTTCAATCACAAAATCAAGTCCAAATCAGTTATTTCAAGTCCAAGTGAAGTCTCCACAACAGGTCATAATGGTTATTCGCTGGCTATAATTTTCACCTTAGAATATAACAAAGTGCCAGTTTATCAGGTACAGCTTGTTGCTCCAGTGGTGGAAGAAGTATTCAGATCCATTACTTAAGTACAAGTACCAGTACCACAATGTAGAAATACTCCAAGTCCCAGGTGAATACAAAATCCCACTTAAGTAAAAGTACATAAGTATTAAGAAAAAGTTTCAAAAGTAAAGTACTCACATTCCCTGTAGCTCACATATTATATATGTCATTATTAGATTGTTAAAACTTATGCATCAATGTGTAATTTTATTGCTGCATCTGGTCAGAAGGTTCCCAACCTAGGCGCCTGGCCCCTCCACAGGGTCACAAGATAAATCTGATTTGTCTGGATATAATTATTGGGGGAGGAAAGAAGGAAACATTATCCTAATAAAATTTGTATTTATTTTATGGACTTTTCTCCAATCCTTGATTTAAAAAAAATTAAATATTGGATCATTTGACCTCTTTGGGACTCAAACAGTTATTGAAATGAAACCTTGCCAGATGTTTGAGGGCAAGTGTCTCATTAGTGGAAATGCGACATATGCAACATGATAAGGTCCCCAATCAGACTCTGCTTTTCTTTTAATCAGCCACAAGTAAAACAGTTTGGGAACAACTGGCTTAATATGATTTTATGTGAATTTTTAAGCTGAAAAGTACCTAGTCTATATATAGCTTTCAAATACATGTAGTGGAGTAAAAAATGCTACAATACCTCTTAAATGTAGTGGAGTGGAAGTATAGTCTTGTCTCATGATCAATTTAGTCAGTAGATGACACCCTCAATAGCCACACTTGTTAAATGTGGTATTTGCTGTATGAAATGGCACTGATAGCTGAAGAATTAAGGTTTTAATTCATAAAAGTGTATAAAGTTTGTGTTGAATGTTATTGAAGGTGGCTTTTATTTCATACGAGGCTTCCAACCGCTGCTATAAAACGTAGCAGAAAAACCTTAAATATGTACCCTGTACTCTGACAGGACCTATGACTACTCTGTGGTGTATCCTGGACCTAATCTGAACATGATTGTCGGAGCCAATGGAACTGGCAAGTCAAGCATAGTGTGTGCCATCTGTCTAGGTCTGGCTGGCAAGACTGCTATCCTGGGCAGAGGCGACAAGGTAAACAGCGTGTTACAGAGTAACAAAACCACTGGAAGATTCACTTTGAACATGTTCAGACCTTGATTTCTTTCCAGAAGACCAGCTAGTAAACTTGCATGCATGATTTCAGGTTAATGAATAGGTTTTCAGCTGATAGCAACAGCATGAAATAGGTGATGTACTTTCTAACATACTGTTATTTGAATGTCTTTTATTGTTCTCTTGCACTGCATGTGATGTTTGTCTCAGATCCCTGCACCTGTGTCAGTCTGTCAAATTATTATACAGTCATGTTAGCTGACAAATAAATTCATTACTATTCTGATGACAATGACTAAAAGGATTTTTTTTTTGTTTCTGTAGGTTGGGCTCTATGTCAAACGCGGG